CCAACAACTTCTTTAATCTTAAATCATGTTCTTTTTTATCTTTACCCCAAACTATTAAGTCATCTATATATATCTGAACTCCTTCTAAATCACTAAAAATTTCAGAAAAACTTCTGGTGATGAACTCAGTCCATATGGCAACCTCAAAAAACAATATCTACCAAACGGAGTGTTAAATGTAGTAAATTCATTACTTGTATATGACAGTTTAATTTGCCAAAATGCTTTCTTTGCATCTAAAATACTAAAGACCTTTGCATTTGTCATTGGAGATGAAATTTCTTCAAAGGTTGGTATGTGATAATGTTCTCTCAGTATATTTTGGTTAAGGTGCTGAGGATCTAAACACACTCTTAAATTACCATCCTTTTTTCTTACTACCACTAATGAATTCACAAATTCTGTTGGTTGGTTAACTTTCTTTATAATACCATCTTTTTCCATTCTTGCTAATTCCTTTTTTAATGGATTTAATAAGCTAAGTGGAATTTTCCTAAAGGGTTCTATTTTACCGACAGCTCCTGGTTTTAATTTAATATGATATGTATATCCAGTTAAATTCCCAGTTCCTTTAAACAAATCTTAATATCCTTTTAAAGATTCTGGTAACTTTTCATTGGAATCAGGATTTACTGTACAAATCCTTTGTATTAGGTTTAATTTTTGCAATGTAGGTAAACCTAAAATAGCTGGAACAGTTTTATCACATGCTACGACTTGAAATTCTACTTCATCCTTGTCCCCTTTCGATGTTTCACATAATAATTTACATTTTCCGACTACATCAATTGTAGTACCATTGTAGTTATTTAAAGTGACTTTTGATTTAGTCAAACATTTATCTCTTAAATTTAATTGTTTAAATTTAGGCAATGGTAACACATTACACTGAGCTCTAGTATCCAACTTAACAAATGAATATATTTAGATATGTTTACTTTTAGTTTTTCAAACCATTCTGTTTTATTTTTAGAAAATGGATTTGTATCTTCTACTGACCCTAAAATATATTCATTACCATTATTATGTAAGTCATGCTCTAAATTATTCTGTACAACATTAACATTTTTATAAGTGCACATTTTAGTGATTTTTCTTTTTACAGTACAAGCAAATCACATTATAAGCAGGACAGTTGTATAACTTATGAAAAGTTCCACATTTTCTACATGGTTTTGGATTATTGTACTTATTTCCTTGATAGTTTGAAGAAGATTTAGTACTTTGTTGCTTTTGTTTTACATGATAGTTTTTCTTACAAGGCTGAGTTTTTTCCTCTGAAGGTGGAAATTTATTACATTTGATAGTTTCTATTTTATTTTCTTCAGTTAAAGTTTTCAGCTGAAGTTCTGCTAATTCAGAAGCTTTACACATTTTAATACATTTCTCCAATGTTAACTGATCTTCCCTTAATAATCTATCTTTGAGAATTTTATTTAGAATTCCACTTACTATTCTATCCCTTATTAAACTATCTTTTAATTCTGCAAATCCACAGTTGCTACTTAATTTCTTTAAATCGGTTAAAAAATCATCAAACGATTCACCTACATGTTGTGTTCGACAGAAAAATATATGTCTATCAACACTTTCGTTTGCTTTCGGTATGCAAAAACTTTCGAAAGCTTCAATTACTTTGTCAACATCTTTCTTATCTTCTTCACTTAAATTAAAAGTATTAAACTTTTCAAGTGCTCCTTCACCAATAATAAGCAATAAAATAGCTACTTTAATTTCAGGTGATTTAGTAATACCACCAGACACTAACATATAAATTTGGAATTTTTGTTTCCATTTTTTCCAATTTTTGCTTAAATTACCTTCAAAATTTAGATTACTTGGTGTCTTTAATCCATCCATATTTAATTTAGGACTTTAAATAGTTTATATATACGTATTTTTAGCCACTTCAAGTAAAAATAAACAACGTACTTACCAGGGATGGATTTCACTGTAAACAACTTTCCATCATGTTTTTGTTTAGAATATCTTTACTCACGCTGCATGGTTCTTCAAAAAAGATTTTCTTTTTTAATCTATAACGGGCTGCGCCATGTGTTGTATTTTATATATGTTGGGTATGTGCTCAGTGATGATTACAAGATGTACACAAACATCGTTTGTTCTACATTGCTCATCTACTATTCTATATTACAGTTATGATTAAAGATAATAATAGATACAGTTACATATATAACAGTGTCCTTTGAATGTTTTATTTATCACTTTTACGTTAGTATTTAAGCATATTATATTTTAATTTACCTCCCGTTTTCATTTTAAACCAGAGATAAGTATATTTCAAGCACACCTTTGGTTACTATGCATTGTGCCAACCAGTACAGTATCTGCGATTCATAAAATTTGCCGCCCAGTACCTGCCTAAATTGAAAAACATTTAGTAGCCCCTCAAGTCCATCACCTAGTGTGGCCATACAGGTTTAACCGCCCTGTCTTTGGTAAGCCTTATGGGCAGAAATTCCTTGTAACAGATTTTGTGTCATTAATACAGTTTATATACATTGTATTAGTACTTATACATAATATCCCATTGACTACAAAACTGATGCCATGCAGCACAGTTTAGTACTAATTATGGACAAGTATGGCACAATATACTGGTAAAATCTGCATTTTCATTTGATATAAGCGCAATTAATTCTGAAAAAGGTGCATTCTGTTTTTATGAACAAAGACATTAATTAACTATTATTACTCTTCTTGCAGTTTGAAACAAAATATTAAAATTTGGAACCTGCCTTCTGCAGAACACCAAGCAGTAAATTATTTAGAAAGTTATGAGATCCTTAAGTTAATGATCATGATATGGTCAACTGAATGTGACTGAACAAACACTGATAGATTGAAACAAGTACCTACAGGAAGTCTGTACTCATAGCGTTCCAAGCAGAGCTTCCGATAAAATCAGAGGGCCTAAAATTAGTACAACCATCAAAAGCCTTTTTACAGAACACAAAAACAAAGCGGGGTGAATACTGATTGCTTATTAGATAAACAGGCAACAGTTCATTCAGAATTTTGCAGACATAATTGTTGTATGTTGACAGAATCTATGCCAAATTTAATAATTCCATAATAGCCAACTTTTACACTTGACAGGATAATATGTAAGTACCATTATATCCAAGGAAAAAAATGGTGAAATTATTAGAGAAGTTATGCTGTTTCATAACTTGTCATTCTCACAAAATGGATTAAGAATATATGTGTGTGTATTTATAGAATTATTAAGTTTCTAAGAATTAATTCTAGAGCTTGCCACCTATGGACTAGCATTTTGTTCCCAAAATTAAGTAATTTAATTGTGTGAGCAATATATTGTTGATGAAGATTCATTAAAAAAGACTTAGGGGCTGGTCAAAAAGATATGCAACATATTTCTGTGAGATGTGATTTTTAAACTTATTCTGAGATATGGAAAGTATCTTGAGCTTTTATCACACATTGAGAAGATCTAAAACAACCATCAGGACAACTGCAAGGTTGTTATGCAAAGGAATGAGGAAAACTAGTTTTAGCTGTAAAATTGTTATATTTTGGATGATGAAAGACTCAATACTGGTAATTGATCAGTTGAAAATGTGCAATCGGCAGTTTTTCAGAAATGGGAGGAAGAAAACTTATCTTTCTTTTAATGGCAAAGCCTGACAGTAAAATTGCTGTAAATAGTTGGTTGCCTTAAATAATTTGTATATAAAAACTTTTTAGTAATCAGATAACTATACAGAAACATAGACTTTATAGGGTTCTAATTCTCTAATATTAACTCAAATGTCCTTTGGACCATTGTAGATTAACAAGTGAGTTATCGCTTACTAATGTGAATCCAACAAAGTCCTATGAAGGTTTTAAAACACCTTTTTATTTAACTTGAATTTTAATAGAAGGCACCACTTTTGTGTTCAACAAAACCGTATCATTTATGAGTAATAAAATAACAAAGTTAAAATTACAAATGAAAAGTATTGTAGCTGCCCAATTCATGAATTTCATAAATTTAATAGCACGTTTTAATGTCAGCTAGCAAAATAGCTAAATCTAGAATATTAACTTTGGAAGAAGTTGTTGCAAATATTCACCATACAACAGATTATGGAGAAGACAAAAGGATTTGGATTTGATACCCACCACCCGCATCATAGATGCTTCAGTGGAATACGAAAGTATATGAAATCAAGTGTAATTAAAATAAAAACAAAGGTTTTATTTTATAAGAGCATTATAAGACCAATTTTGATATATGCATGTGAGATTTGGACCATGACGTGCGTGAATGAGTATATGCTGGGTATTTTTGAAAGGACGTTTTTTGAGAAGTAGTTTTGGAGGAATACAAAAAGATGTGTGTGGCTTAGAAGAGCAAATTAGGAGCTATATCGCTCATATAGTGAACCCGACATCATTAGTTTCATTAAATGCCAAAGAATAAAATGGGCAGGCCACGTTATTAAAATAGATGAAGGCCGTACAACAAAAAAGTCTTCAATGCCAGACCAGCAGGCACACAGAAAAAAGGCAGACCAAATTTAAGATGGTTAGATTCCCTAGAAATTTACCTATTGTTCTTAAAAAACCAAAAACTGGAAAATGCCAGCAGGAAGAAATTGGCCTGGAAGAGAAGGCCTCGGCTGCTGGACCATTGAGGAGGAGGAGAAATATTAACAGGCAAAGCTGAGCGGTAGTAAAATAAAGCACCAAGTGCCACTGCTAAAAGCACTAAAACACTCAAAACCATTGTCTTAAATATTCTTCAGTGTCCTTTGTGTCCTGGTGAAGGCCAGTGGATAGGAGAAGTTACAGTAAAGATTTAAATGATAAAAGTCAATTAATTAACATAAAATACCTTACAATTTTAGTTAAAATTCATAAAATTTTTTAAATTTGTAAACAGCATATATCCTTTTTACCAACTTTTTTATTTTATTTTATTTTTTTGAATGACTTTCATTAAATCTAATTTTTCTTTAATCCAATTCTAGTTCACTGTGTTTGGCAATGATCTTCAACGGATTCCTTGTTTTAAAAAAACCTTTACCGTTGGAATTAGTTCTGGAGTAATAGCAGGCTTAACAACTTTCTTATTTACAAGTATGTGCCTTTTTATAAGATAATTTTATAGTTATGCGTATTTGATAAAATTTTTGTGTTTGAACAGGAATAGTGCCAGCTTTATCTTCACGGTTCATAGATAAAATCTTAAATTTATAACATTCAGGTGGTTCTTTCCTGTTAATGGGGTGCTACATAGTGCCAAACATAAATGTTGACTAGAAATCTGACTAGATGGTGGCAACTCTAATGATACATGCAACTTCATGAAAAGAATAATCTTTTATATATGAAGAATATAATATATATATATAAATTTGCTTAATGTACACAATACTCAGGATGTGTGCAGTGCCAGTTTTCTGCAATTCTTGGATATTTCATTAAGCAAAAACAGATCATGGGAAGAATAAATTGTTGCACTTCCCATTTGCCACCCAAATGGTATAGCAGTTAGTAATTCTGACTGCTGTTCTGAGTTTCCAGGTTTGAATGTCAGAGAAGGCATGGATGTTTTCAAGCATTTGTTTTTGTGACAAGGCAGCACTTGAAATACACAGCAGCTGAAATCTTCTCTGGAAATTGCGAAAGAGGGGTGGGAGATCCTTGGACCTCACCCTGGGTTTTTTCACATGGAATTCCATCTAGGGCAGAACCTTAGCAGTTAGCAAGGCCTGGTGATACCCAGTATGCTGACTTATATGCATAGGTGCTAGCAGTGCTTCAGCCCAGTACTTTCCATGTAGGCAGTTATTGGTTTTTGTTTAAAAAACATCCAGAATGGAGAGTTCTTCCAGAAATGAAGAATTGCATAAATTCCATCAGGCCCAAATTTACAAGAAACACTATCTGCCTTCAGCACAAAAGGCAACTGAAAATCTAGGATGGATTTTCATTCGGTACTTAGTAGTAGTAGTAGTTTCATTAATACAACGACCTTAGCAGAAGTCATCAAAGTTTCAGAATGTGCCAAACGTTAGCAGCTGAGTGCATACCAAATCATCAGACAACCATGCTCATGGCAATTCTTCAGTCGATCAACATTGCCATTTTTGTATGCTTTCTTTTTGCTGTGTTGCAAGTTTAGTTGTTTATATAGGTAAATCATATTTTTTGCTTTAAACTTTATTTTAAAATATATGCTTGAAGAATTGCCAGCTGTGGAAGAAACTGTTGTAGAATTTCAGAAATTTTGCTGCAAAATCTCTAAAGGAACTAATTATTTTGACTCTGCTCTTAAATCTATTGCCACAAAATTTCCACCCAAAGAAAAGACATAAAACCGAACTTGTAAGTAGGTTCATTGATTGATTTTTTTTTTTACACAAATAACTTATTAGCATGTAAAATATATATGTAATAATATTTATGTATGGAATAGGAAATTTTTGAAATTATATATCATTCTTTTTCTTCTGTAAAAAACTGCTAGATTGTTCCTAAGTGGTTGTCACTATTGCTGATGTGATGTAAAACATGTCACATTTTTCTCTTTGATGCATATTTAGTGACTGGTGCCGTGTTAACAGAAAAACACCAATCTGGCATATATGCATTTGTATAATTTTCCTGTAACAATTCATTTTGCAGGTGTACTCATTTTTTTAATGTCTTTTCTCTTAATACTGTATATAATATTAGATGATTGCAATTATATGATGCAGTAAAAGTTGGTTAGGTCGTAACAATAAAATCTTATTTACCTTCTCAGCATTACCATGCACTTTTTTTAGATTTTATTTTTCAAATTTATAGACCTTTGTCTAAATTATTAAAGGAAAATATACATTAGAGGAAGGGAGAGATAAAGAAAAGCTGCAATGCTAAACATATTTAAGCTTTATGAATTCACCTGCATTGCAAAGAACTATGAATTGTTAGCATTTGAAGTAATGTAGAAGCTGCTATACATGTGCTGCATGAAAAAGGCTGCAGAAATGTATAAATCAAAAATCATAATTAGTTGGAGAATTTTTCAAGAAGCTAACTTAATCACTAACAAATAATGAAAAGAAATACATTTTCTGTATTATGGGTTATATAAAAAAATGTCCAGGAGCTTATCCTGTATTCTCTGTCAAGAAATTTTGATTATCACTTAAATTCCTTTGTCGAACTAAATTTCCTTACTTGATCTTATTCACTTGGTTCAGGCAGCAAATTCTACTTCTTTTTATAAGGGATTGTGCGAAGTGCTTTTCGAAGATGAATAAAAATTTCTCTATGCAAAAAACTTGTGCTTGAAATGGCAGGCTGGTGAAGTAAATACAGTACATAGTAGAAGATCTGGAATCATTGGGACTTCAGTGATTCCATATATTGGAAATTTCGGGATTTTAGCTCATCAGTTTAAATCTAGGAAGATTTCATGTAGATACAGTAGAAGTCCAGAAACCTGCAAAGCTTGGGACCAGAGATTGTGCAGATTTGAGCATTTTGCGGATTTCAGGACAGAAAAGATAATATTCAGACTAAAAGTGCAAAATAAATAAGGCGTATTAGACACATTTAATTGAATTATTATATACATTATTACAATAATTTATTATATGCATTAAATTATTATTACGTATATAAATTGATTATATTATATTATTCATTTACATTAGGCTCCTCTATTTTTAAATCAGCATGAATCTGCTTCCCCTTTTCTCTCAGGAGTATTCCTGAAATTGGTATCCCATCACTCCGCCACTGCCGGACTCACTTGTACAAGACAACATCGAGGTTTGCCGATTTCACCTCATTCATACACACCATGTCACAATTCCATACGATTCTGCGATAAACTGAAGAGTAGCACCTGCCTCGATCTTTTGCAGAATTTCCACTTTTTGCATTACCATCAGTGCAGTGTGTTTACATTTTTCAACGTTACAAGCAGTAAAATCATGAGTGCATTTCTTATCTGACATTGTATTAAAAAGCACTAAAATTTAAAGTATTCTTAATTTATCCACAAAATACCCGGATTTAAAAAAAAAGGCAGCACTAAACCATCTCGTGAAATAACAAAGCTCAGAGACTACAACAACGTAAATCGTGAACATGAAAGAAGAGTGAATCGTGAATTTGAAAGAAGAGTGAATCGTCTGCTTTTTTACCTCAATGCAGATTGAAACTTGATCGATTGAGAGAAAAAACTTTTATCATGATGTCAATAATTTGGTATTTCAGTTATGACTCATTATTATTCAGTAATTATGACGTCATTATCCGGTAAGTATTTTTTCTTCGATATTTCGTACTCCATGTTGCGGTTTCCAGAACCTATAAACTAAATGTTTATATTTTAAGAGGCAACGCGGATTACAGGAGTTGGCAGATTTCAGGTTGGCGGATTTTCGGTATTTGACTGTATTACAAAATTAAAAATATGTAAAGTTTTTGGTGAAATAATAAAGTATGTATGATGTTAACGAAACTGAAATTTACAGGAAAAAAAAAATCAGTGTTAATATTTATTTTGTTTTATTAATTTTTTTAGCATCTAATGAAAATAGTTTAAGCAGTTTCATTTTATGTGTTAATACTTTCTCTTTAATTTCATAAAAAGACAATTTCTTCCTCAGCTACAGATTTTTATTATTCAAGTTCTGTATTTGTTGTGCTGAGAATTTCCATTAACTAATCAGTTGAAATCTTTTCATTTTCAATATTATCACTTTCTTCACAGTCACTTGCAAAATTTAAAACCACGCTACAGGTTTTGCCATCCGTTAAATTGATAGATGACAGAGATGTAGCAATTGCAGTGAAGACTTTATCACATTTATTTAGCATTTCTTCACACATTCCATTAAATGAAAAATTTTTCGATTTTCTTTCAAAGCCATGAATTTGTTTATTACACTTCCTCTGCACTAAGGCATCACTAGTTTGTGTAGTTTCTTTCCTTATGCAACTATGTTTTTCTTCTAATCATTTTCTTTTCTTCCTGAAAATGAATTTTATGATTTGGAATTTGCCACGAGATGAACAAACAGCTTTCCTGTTTCTCCAATATTACCACAGATTTTGCCATCCATTTATTGATGCTTCATTGAGTCATTGAGTTATATCATCTTCATTTAGCATTACTTCACATAATGGATTTTTACTCTCTACTGATATCATCTAAAAAATCTTTAAATTCACAACTATCATCAATACCCACTTTATGAATTATGGTAGCTGGCTATAAACAGCTTCAGAACCAGTATGATTGGAAACTAGTACAGTCAAAAGTCGTTAATCCAGACTCGTCGGGACTTCGGCGATTCCGGATTATTGATCATCAGTTTAAATCTGGTAAGATGGCATGCAGAAATTATAAAATTAAAAATATGAAACCATAATTTATGAAATAAAGAACAATTATGATCTAAAGGGTATCAAAACTTACACACACAAAAAAAAGCTTAATATTTATTTGTTTACTTTATTAAACATTTCTTTCAATGTAAGTTGTTTTAAGTTGCTTCGTTCTTTATGTGCTTTCTCTTTAATTCTATAAACAGACATAATTTCTTGTTCAGTTACAAAGTTCCGCTGTTCAAGTCCTATAATTGCTGTGTCGAAAATACCGACCAATTTGTCAATTGAAATTTTTTCGTTTTCATTAACCTCTGTGTCACTTTCTTCGCTATCGGAAGCGAATCATAATGACGAGGAATTTGATTTAAATCATATCAAAGACGGAGTACATTGAGATGAAATACTACATTTAGTATCGAATTGTAAGCCAAATAAAATAAAAAACATCTGCCCTGAAGATAAGGATAGTGCTGACAGATCAACTTCCAGTTCATTGCGCGCTGCCACGTCCCCCCCTCCACACGCAGAGCAGCGTGAAATTGATAAACAGATTTCGGAATGGTCAGATAAACAAAGGATATGCCTTTATCCATTTTTTGCATCAATTCCACTTTTTGTTTAATGGACTTCGAAACATACTTTCGCTTTGTAGATCCTTTACATATTAGTAAATATATATCGGAAATTCTATTTGACATAATCGAAAGTTCAAGCTTACTTTTATAAAATTGCTCTAACAGTCG